GGGCGGGGCCCCCCTCGCGGGTGGCTCTGGGGGCAGCAGGGGCAGGGCGGGGAGCAGAAGGCGGGGGCGCAGCACGGGGGGAGGTGACAGGGCGGGTGGCAGCGCGGGGACGTTCCCCCGCGCCGGCGGGGCCGGGGTCGCGGCCAGCCCAGCCCCATGGCCGAGCCGCCCCCCCCGCCCCGGGGATTTACCGGGCAAAGCGGCTGAGCGGGGGGAGCGGGGGGGGCACGTGGCGGCACCCGTGGGTGAGGGACACGGGGACATGAGGACACGGAGCGGGGCACGAGGGACATGGGGACACCGGGGACGTGGGGGACATGGGGTGTGGGGGGACACGGGGGGACACGGGGGATGCTGGGGACGTGCGGGGACATGGGGAACACAGCCGGGGGGGACACAGGGGACATGGGGAACTCGACTGGGGACACGGGGTTCTGGAGACATGGTAGGACGTGGGGGACAGGGGACACCGCGGGGACACGATTGCGGGCAGGAAGGGGTTATGGGACGCGGGGCAGCATAAGGGACACGCGGGACATTGGGGACACGCGGTGATGGAGGTCACAGGGGACACGAAAGACATAGGGCGACAGGTTTGGGCGGAGCCAGGGTTGTGGGGACTTGGGGGGCAGGGGGCTTACGGCATGATTTATTAATCAAACATGGAAAAAAGAGTTGGGAGAGGGAGTGCTCTGGAAAGAAGGAGCCAACTTCTTCCGAGCTGCTGGGCAAGGCTGAGAGGCAGCCTGACCCTGGGCCAGCTCCATCACGCTCTGGAGAACATCCCTAATGGCACTTTGCTGGGGCTGCTGGGCTCCAGTGACACATCCCAACGCTGGCCTGTCACCTCCCCGCTATTCCAGCCCCTGACCCGCACATTAAAGTGCTTTTCGGGGGGGACACAGGTTAGGGACGTGTGGGACACGGGGGGCGTGGTGGGGACACGACTGGGGCTCACAGGGAATGACGGAGCCGTGGGGGCTGTGGGGAGACATGGGGGACACCCGGGGGACACAGGGGTGGGGCGGGACACACGGGGGTCCCGGCGTGGCGGGGGCAGGGCCGGGCCGCACAAAGGGGCCATTCACCGCCCTGGGGGAGGGGCGCCCTGAGGAATTTCCACCCAAAACTTTTTCCATGAGCCCATTCCTGCCCCTCCCTCCCCTTTCCCGGCACGGGGGGAGAGGTGCGGGGGGGGGGTTACATGCGTGTCCGGGCATGGGAACGCGTGCGTGCGTGCATGTGACATGCAGGGACACACCCCGCACACGTGTCCCCGTGCCCACACATGCGTCTGCATGCTGGAGGCTGGGTAAAGGTGTGTGACACATGCAGTGAGATGTGACCATTGCATGTGCAGTTGTGTCACCTGTGCAATGATCCCATGAACAGGTGTGTGACACGTGCAGTGATCCCGTGTACAGGTATGTCACCTGTGCAGTGATCCCGTGTGCAGGTGTGTGACACGTGCAGTGATCCCGTGTACAGGTATGTCACCTGTGTAATGATCCCGTGTGCAGGTGTGTGCACTGTGCAGTGATCCCATGTACAGGTGTGTCACCTGTGCAGTGATCCTGTGTGCAGGTGTGTGCCACATGCAATGATCCCCTGTGCAGGTGTGTGACACACGCAATGATCCCGTGTGCAGGTGTGTGCCACATGCAATGATCCCCTGTGCAGGTGTGTGACAACGCAATGATCCCGTATGCAGGTGCGTGACACACGCAATGATCCCGTGTGCAGGTGTGTTACTCATGCAGAGCCCCAGAAATGCAGTCGGGCAGGCGGTGCTGGCACAGCCCTCGCACACCCGGAGGTGCCCAGGCGCACCCAGACACAGCTGAACACGCTCACACACACGTGTGCACACCTGGGCATGCTGACACACACCTGTGCACAGTGGGCACACGGGGGGACATCACAAGGGGATTGGAAGGGACTGGGAAGGACTGGGAGAAGGATGTGGGGGACTGGCAGAACTGGCAGGACTGGGAGGGATTGAGGGGTGACAAGGGGACTGGGAGGGGCTGGAGTAGTGACAGGGGAACTGGAAAGGACTGGAAGAACTGGGAGGACTGGGAGGACCGGGGAGGCGGGTGGTGACATGAGCACTGGGAGTGCACGGTGGAACTGGGAGGGACTGGGGAGGGCGTGACGCGGGGACGGGGAGGACTGGGAGGGGATGGCGGAGACGGGGGACGTGGCCCGGGTGCCCCCCAGGGAGGGAGGGCACACGGAGGGGACGAACACGTCTGATACCGTGTGACACATGTGACACGTGTGTACGCGACACCGCGCGTCCGCTCCTCAGGCTCCAATCCCCGCCCATTCCCCATCCAGCCCCGCCCACGAGCCCCGCCCCTCGCTCAGACCACGCCCCATTCAAATCAGCCCGGCCCCTCTCCGCCCCGCCCATCCCCGAGGCCACGCCCCGTTCCTATTCAGCCCAGCCACTCAAGGCCCCGCCCCCTCCGAGCCCCGCCCTCTCAGCCTAGCCCACTCCCAATTTAGCCCCGCCCACATTTCAGCCCTCACATTCCAAACCGCCCCGCTCCTCCAGGCCCCGCCCCGTTCACTCCTCCCACCGAAGCCCCGCCCCCGCTCAGGCCCCGCCCCAATCCCCGCTCGCCTTCCAGCCCGGGGGGGGGCACATCCCCAAATTCTGCCCAGGAGGGACCCGGGCTGTGGGGGGGGCAGGGTCCCAGGCCGGTTTTGCGGGGGGCACAGGGACCTGGGGGCTCGAGGGGCCTGGAGCCTGTTTTTGGGGTGGTCGCGGTGTCCCGGAGCCCTTTGGGGGGGCAGCAATAGAGACCCGGTGCTGGAGGGGCGCAGGGACATGGCCCACACAGGACCGCTCCTGGGGAGCCGGGGGTCCCGGACCCTGCTTTGGAGGGGCTCAGGGACCCCAGACCTTGTTATTTTGGGGGTTCGCAGACCTCTTTGTGAGGGTAGAAAGAGGCACCCGGTTTTGGGGGGGGCACGAGGGGGGTCCTGGGGGTCCCACAGGAGCCCTCCGCGTGTCAGTCTGGGCACAAACAGGGTGGGAGGGGAGAATCCCCTAAAACGCCCCTAAATCCCCCCCGTTCCACCTCTGCCTCTGGTGCGTTGCCTCCTCCCGCGTCCTCCCCCCTCCCAGTTCCTCGGCCTAACTGGTTCCAGTCGTGGCCGCGCCCGCGTCCCCCCGCGTCCCCCCCGCGCTGCCAATGTGGCACTTTAACCCCTGCGGGGCTGCCCCAAAACCGCCCGAACCCCACTTGGAGCGGGGCTGGGGCCCCTTCTCAGCAGGGCGGGGGGGGCGTCACCCCCCGCGTTTTTGGGGGAACCCCCGTGGCCCCCCCAAATTCCACCCCGGGCGGAGGGACTTCCCCCCGCCGCCCTCAATTTAAGACCTGATGGGAGACCGCCCCTTGGAGAGGGGAGACCCCAAAAAATCGGGGGCGCCACAGAGTTGTGGCCCCGCGGATGTTTTTGGGGTGCTGTTTTTTTTTTGGGCAGGGGAGGATGCTTTAATTTGGATTCCTCCCCCTTCAAAAATCGAGCTTTAAGAGAAAACACGCACGGTGGGGTGCCCCAAATGTACCTGCACCCCCCAAATGAAACCCCCTCCCCACTTCAACCCTCCGCGTGGAATCCGAGTATCGATGGGGGGGGGCGTCCAGCCCTCCCCAAACCTGGGGTGCGCTCGGGTGGGTCCCCGTGCCGGGGGGCGAAGTGTGGTCCCCAATTTCGGCCCCGTTTTTAGGGTGGGGTCCTCCCCCTCGCCCCCCCCCGGGTTATTTTGGGGTGCCCGTGGCACGCGCTGGGCGGGGCCCCCCTCGCTCCCCCTCTCCCCCGCGGTTACAAACGCGCCGCTCGAGGCCGGAATTTCCTCAATTTCAGCAATTTTGGGTTTTTTTTAGCAAAACACACAAAACCTACCCAAAAAAAAAATTCCGAAACCAGCCGCCCCTCCCCCGCTGCCGCCCGGGCTGCGCGCCGGGGGCTCCTCCCTCCCCCTGTGTCACCCCCCGGCAGGGGGCTGGGGACCCTCCTTCCCCCGGATTTTGGGGCTGGAGAAGCTGGGTACACCCCCACACCAGGTGCTGGGGATCGGGGCGAGAGGATGCACACTGATACGTCCCCCACCCATGGTGGAAACCGCGGATTCCACCCCCCCCAGCCCCCGATTTTGGGGTTTTGCAGCTCAGGTTTTAGGGCCGTGGAGGTGACAGCGAGACCCCCAAAATCACACACCCCCATTGTGGGCTGGGGCCCCCTTGGAGAGCGGTGGGGAGGGGCTGTTTAACTCCCCCCACCTTTCGCCCCCCCAGCCCTGGAGCCCAGCCCTGGGCGGGTTTTGGGGGACACGGGCCCCCCCTCGCCACCGCCGCCCCCCCGCGTGCACAAGCCTTGCTTCGTGTGCAGCGACCGCAGCTCCGGCTACCACTACGGAGTGAGCTCCTGCGAGGGCTGCAAGGTGCGGGGCCGGGGCACCGGGGACCCCCGGGGGGGACCCCTGAGACTGTGGAAACCTGGGGGGGGCACTGGGGACCCCCTGAGACAGTGGAAACCCCGGGAGGGGGGATAGTCGGGACCTCCCAGGGCAGGGGGACCCCTGAGACAGTGGAAACCCTGGGGGGGGGGAGCACTGGGGATATCCCAGGGAGGGGGGATAGTCGGGACCTCCCAGGGCAGGGGGACCCCTGAGACTGTGGAAACCCCGGGAGGGGGGATAGTGGGGACCTCCCAGGGCAGGGGGACCCCTGAGACAGTGGAAACACCGGGTGGGGGGAGCGACAGTGGGGACCCCCTGAGACAATGGAAACCCTGGGGAGCCTGGGGCATTGGGGACCTCCCAGGGCAGGGGGACCCCTGAGACGGTGGAAACCGTGGGAGGGGGGAGCACTGGGGATATCCACCTGGGGGAGGGGACAGTGGGGACCCTGTGGTGGGAGTGGGGACCCGGCACTTGGAGGAGGGGGGTCCTGGGGACACTGTGGATCTGCCCCAAGGAAAGGGGCCCTCCACAGGCAGTGGGGATCCACTCGAGGGTGACCCTTTGGGGGAGTGGGAATCCCCCAAGCGCTGGGGAGCTGTAATGGGCGCACCTGGGGACATCACAGACCTTGTGGGGCAATTGGGACCACGCCCAGGGGATGGGGACCCCTTCCCAGGCCAGTGGGCACCCACTTGGGAGCCCCCCAAGCCCTGTGCCCCACCCTGGGATAGTGGGGAGCCACTGAGGAGCCGCTGAGGAGCTCCCCTCCCAGCACTGCGGAGCCTTCCTGGGATCCCTGGGGATGTGATGCTGGTGCCCCCAGTTTCGGGGTAACCCCCTGACCCCCGTTTTCCCACTGCAGGGGTTTTTCCGGAGGAGCATCCAGAAGAACATGGTGTACACGTGTCACCGGGAGCGCAACTGCCAGATCGACAAGGTCACCCGCAACCGCTGCCAGTTCTGCCGCCTCCAGAAGTGCTTCCAGGTCGGAATGTCCAAGGAAGGTGCGAGGGGGTCTGGGCCGGGGTCCCCCGAAGTTGGGGACCCCCCCCAAACATCGCTGAGGGGCCCCGGTGGTGTCCCGGCGGGCCTGGGGATGTTCCTGTTCCTGGGAGGGATCCGAGGCTGCGGAAGGGACTGCTGGGTGTGAGGATTTCCCCCCTTGGTCCTGCAGGGGACTTGCCTAAAATTGAGACCACCCCCCCCCAAAGCATTGCTGAGGGGTCCCAGGGTCCTGGGGCTGCTCATGGTGGGGATGTTCCTGTCCCATGGGGGGATTTTTGGGGGAGAGGGGAGGCAAGCCCACCTGGGAGGGATCTGAGGGGGCACACCAGTGCCCCCAACCCCCACCTCCCACCCCCCCAGCCGTGCGGAACGACCGGAACAAGAGGAAGAAGGAGGTGAAGGAGGATCTGGGGGGGGACGAGCTGAGCCCCGAGCTGGCCGAGCTGGTGCGGAGGGTCAGCAGAGCCCACCAGGAGACCTTCCCCTCTCTGGGCCAGCTGGGCAAGTACACCACGGTGAGCAGGCTTGGGGGTCTGGGGGCACCAAGGGGGGGCCGCAACCCTCAGATCTGGGGCAGGGTCATGCTCCTGCCTGATCCCCCCAAACATGAGCACTGGGGGCAGCTGGGGCTGGGGACATGTTCAGGGGGAGTGGGGCACCATGTTTCTGTCCCCAGGGGGTTTTGGGGGTCTCTTTGGGGATGACCCTACAGCTGGGTCCCTGTTCCCTCCTGACCCCTCCAAAACATAAGCACTGAGCACTGGGGGGCTGGGAGACAAGTTCAGGGGGAGGGGGGCACTGGGACAGAGTACTGGGGGTCGTGGGTGGTGTTTGGGGGGTTACTTATTGGAAGGACCCTAACGCTGGAGCTCAGAGTGGGGTCTCTGCACGCCCTGACCCCTGAAAACTCAGCTGCTGAGTAAGGGGGGCAGCTGGACCTGGGGCTGGGTTCAGGGGCTTCCAGGGGGCCCCAGCAGGTCCTGAACCCCCATAACTGAGCCTGTGTCCCTCATAAAATGAGCGCTGACCACTGGGTGCAGCTGGACCTGGGGCTATGGGACAAGTTCAGGGTGCTGGGGTCGGGGTCCCAGAGGTTCCAGGGGGTCCCAGGGGTTCCTGAACAATCCCCTAACGGCTGTGGGCCCCCTGTGCCCCCAGAACTCGAGCGCTGACCACCGGGTGCAGCTGGACCTGGGGCTGTGGGACAAGTTCAGCGAATTGGCCACCAAGTGCATCATCAAGATCGTGGAGTTTGCCAAGCGGCTCCCGGGCTTCACGGGGCTCAGCATGGCTGACCAGATCACTCTGCTCAAGGCTGCCTGCCTCGACATCCTGGTGAGGGTTGGGGGGGCTCCTCAGGATGTCTGGGGGCTCCTCACGTGGGTTGGGGGGCTCCTTGAAGGGGCTTGGGCTGGCCCACGATGGTCCTGACCTTGCCGCTCCACAGAGAGATGTCCTGGAGAGGGGCTGGGAGGTCTCCTGGGAGGGCCTGGGTGGGTTTGGGGTCCCTTAGGTGCTTTTGGTGATCTTGGGCTGTTTTGGGGTGTCCCTGTCCCCTGGTGCTGTGTCTGTCCTGTGGCAGAGCCAGAACAGGACACGACAATGCTCCAGGATGGGCAGAGCCTGGGTGGATTTTGGGCTCCCTGTCCTGCAGATGCTGTGGGTCTGCACCTGCTTCATTCCAGAGCAGGACACAGTGATGGGATGGGCTGACCCTGGGTGGATTTTTGGTATCCCTGGAGGTATTTTGGAGCCCCTTGGCGACTTGGGGCTCCCTGCCCTGCAGATGCTGCGGATCTGCACCCGCTACACGCCGGAGCAGGACACGATGACGTTCTCGGACGGGCTGACGCTGACCCGGACCCAGATGCACAACGCGGGATTCGGGCCCCTCACCGACCTCGTGTTTGCCTTTGCGGGGCAGCTGCTGCCGCTGCAGCTCGATGACACCGAGACCGGGCTGCTCAGTGCCATCTGCCTCATCTGCGGGGGTGGGGACACGGGGGACATCGCGGGAGGGGGGCACAGGGGACAGAGTCAGGGCTGCTCAGTGCCACTGCCTCATCTGTGGGAGTGGGAACTTGGGGGACATCGGGGGCACATGAGGGTGTGTCGGGGCTGTGGCGGGCAGGGGGACATGGGGACACGGGACTGAGTTGTGGCTGCTCAGCTGCAGAGGTGGGGACACGAGGGGATACTGGGGGGACGTGGGGATCTCTAGGACAGAAGATGGGCATGTGGGGACACAGGGGTCTAGGTGGTGTCTCTCTCTCCCCAGACCGGATGGAGCTGGAGCAGCCCCGGCGCGTGGAGCGGCTGCAGGAGCCGCTGCTCGAGGCTCTCCGGGTCTATGCCCGGCGCCGGCGCCCGTGGCAGCCGCAGCGTTTCCCCCGGATGCTGCTCAAAATCACTGACCTGCGTGGCATCAGCACCAAGGGTGAGCAACACCCCCAGATCCCCGGGGCACCCCCAAACTGCGGCAACCCTGCCAGGACCCCCTTGGGATCCCCCCAAAACCCCCGAGCCTTCCCAAGCCCCCAGTGATCTTCCCAAACGCTGTTCAAAGTCACCGCCAAAGGGGGCAGCCCCCAAACCTTCCCAGGACCCCTCCAGGACCCCAAAACCCATCAGGACACCCCCAAACCTGCCCCTGGCACCTCAGGATTTGAAGCTCTCAGGGAGGCGCAGATGAAGGTCCTGGGGGTGTTGGAAAGTTTTATGGGGGGGTTGAAGCTCATTTTGGGGGTGTTCAGGGTATCTGGGGAGGTGCCAGGTTTTGAAGGCATTGAAGCTTTTGTGGGGTTTTGAGAGTTGGGGACTTTTGAAAGTTGGGAGGGTGTTGAAGTTCATTTTTGGGTGGGATTCAAAGCCTCGGGGGGATTCAATCTCTTGTGGGGTTTGTCCAGGCTTTGCAGCAATTGAAGCTCATTTTGGTGTTCAAGGTCTTGGAGGGGTCCGAGGTTTTGGGGGTTCAGGGTTTTGGAGGGGGTTGAAATTTGAGAGGGTATTGAAGCTCATTTTTTGGAAGGGGGTTCCATCTCTCAGGAGGGGCCCAAGGCCTTCAGGGGTGTTGATGTTTTGGCTCCCCAGGGGCGGAACGAGCCATCACCCTGCGCACGGAGATCCCGGGGCCGATGCCCCCCCTGATCCGGGAAATGCTGGAGAACCCCGAAATCTTCACCGAAGTGGGGCAGGATGGCCCCCCCCCACCCCCAGACCCTCCTGCCGCCCAGGACAGTCCCCCTGGCCCCCCCACATCCCCATAGCCCCCCCCAGCTCGGGGGGGATCTTCAAAACCCGTCCCCAGTGGGGTGGGACATGCAGAGCTGCCTTCCAGGGAAGCTGCTTTCCTTCTCCCTTTTGCTCTGGGGAGGGGGGGCTCCCCAGAGTGCCCCCCCCTCCAAATTTGGGGAAGGGGGCAGAGACTGACAGAGCAAAGCTATTGCCTTAAGCTGGGGGAGTCCGGGGGCACCTCCCAAACCTCAGCTTCATGCCAAAGCCCCCTCAGACCCTGCTGCCACCCCCTTGTACTGGGGGAGCTGTGAGGGGGGGGGAGTTCAGGGGCCCAGCCCCTCCCCACCAAATTAATGCCTGACACTCCCACAGTGCCCCCCCACGGTTTATTTATTGGACACAGGGTGGATTTTGGGGGGAGGAGACACCCCCATCCTCCCCCAGGACATCCTACCCCTCCCCAAATCTGGGGGGACACCGTTTATACTGGGGGGGCTGCTTGTGGGTTTTGCTTCTTGATGCTGTTGAGGTAGGGAGGGAAACCCCAAAATTGCCCTCCCCTGATGCCCCCCCCCCCAAACACTACAGAGACCAAAGATGGGGGACACAAAGTGACCCCCACAACCCCCCTCCCCCCCAATTTGGGGTGGGGGCTCAAGCCATAGGGTGACCCCAAAATCCTGGGGGTCCCCCAGACCCAACTGCCCTCCCAAATATGTTACCCCCAGCCTGGCTGGATTGTAGGGTCTGGCCTTACTGGCTCCCCCTTCAATTGCCCCCCCCCCCCCCCCCAAATGCCCCCCCAATTGTGGGGGTGTAAATTTGGGGGTGCAGAGCCCTCAGGGGGAGCCTGTTACACTACACAGAGGGGTACCCCCCCGGGGCTGCACTTTCACCCCTATTTATTCCTCTGCGTTTACATTGGCCACCCCGCTGCTGCCCCCCCGCTAACTCCCCCCTTTTTGGGGGTCCCCCTGCCATGTTTACAGCCCACCCGCCCCCTCCTGTGCTGGGGGGGGACACGGGACTTTTCTATTTTTGCAAAATAAAGATATGGAAATTTTGGGGGGCGGTCATGAATTTGGGAGGGGGGCTGTAAAGGGGACCTGGGTGGGGGGAGAGGGGAACCTTGGGACCTCCCCAGAGGTGAGAGGGCACCCCTGGGGTATGGGGGGGTATCTGGGGTCCCCTCTGACTTAGGGAACCCTCCAGGAACAAAGGGGCTACTTGGGGACCCCTCCCCAATTGGGGGGACCCCCAGTTATAAAGAGGGGACACTTCTGCTCCCCTCCCCAATTTAAAAGCCCCCATAGTCCCAGTGTAACCTCCCCTGACTTTGTTTGGCATGAGTGGGTTCTGGGGTCCCCCCACACTGCCCCAAAGGACTTACATTTGGGGTTAAAAAAGCAAAAACCCAAGTATTTATTTAAATAAACCCTAAAGGAGGAGAGAGGACACACAGTGGGGGTGGGGGGGACACTGGGGGGACACAGTGGACCAGAGCCCCCAGCTGTCCCCCCAGGGCCCCACAAATTTGGGGGAATGGGCTCAGCAGAGCCATAGTCCTTCTTGAAGTGTCATTGGGGGAGATCCCCAAAATTTGGGCCCCTCCAAAAACTCCTGCAGGCCCAGGAAGGGGGTTCAGGGCACAAAAATGGGGGGGGGAGGAATTCATGTCTCTTGCCCCTTGGAGCAGTCTGTGATGGGGGGACAGGGACCCCCCCCCAAAATGGGGGGAAGAGCAGGGGCTCACCTCGTGGTCTTTGGGGGCTGCTCCTGCCCCCTTCACCTCGTCCCTCATCCGGGGGGGCCCTCACCCCCCCTTTCTCACCCCCACCTAGGGTGCACACCTCCCAGCATGGGGGGACATAGGCAGCACCCCAAAACTATGCGGAAGTAGGAGAAAACCCCCCAAAATCTGAAGGAGTTCCAGAGGAAATGGGAAGTGCTGCTGAGTGTCCCACAGGATGCGCCGCTCAAGGGGGGCCCCCAAAATCCTTTTTTAACCTGTTTTCCAAAAAAAATCCCTAAAAAACAGGGGGTGCACCCCCCACCCCAGGCTGAGGCATCCCCCAGCATCTTCAGTTTTCCTCTTTTTCCCAAAGAAGAGAGGGATTGATGCTGCTGTTCCCAGTGGGACCCTCCTACCTGTGCACAGGTATCCCGGATCCGCCGGGATTTCAGGCAGTTTGGGGGTTCTCAGTCTTTCCTAAGAGGGGGAGGGGTGGATTCAGGGGTATAACGATGGTTCCAGGAGGATTTTTGGGATCATAATCCAAGTTTTTAGGCCAGAGGGCAGGAACGATCTGAGTTTTTTCATGCTGGCAGCGCTCGTGTTCTTCCCCATCCTTAGAGGGGTGAGAAATCCAGGTGAGGCAGAGCATGGTGATGTGGAGGGGTGCAGGAAGAAACACCCCCCTCCCGCACCCCCTGAACTTCCCGGTATTCCCAGATTTTCACAGCAGGAGCTGGGAGTCGGGCGGGGTCTTGGTCTGGCAGCCTTGGCACATGCGCTTGTGTCGGAGCAGCCGGTCCGTGCGGGAGAAGCTCTGCGGGGACACGGCGGGGTCACTGCTGGGGCTGGCGCTGTGACTGGCGCGGTGCCCCGCCCGCTCCCGCGGGAATTCTCCCGGGAATACCTGCATGCAGCGCTCGCACTGGTAGGGCTTCTCCCCGCTGTGCACGCGCTTGTGCCGCTCCAGGTGGTACTTCTGGATGAAGCGCATGTCGCACATGTCGCACTCGAACGGCTTCTCCCCTGCAATTCCGGCCGGCAATTAGCGGGGGGGGGGAATGCTCATTAACGAGGGCTCATTACCGCTGGAGGGAGGCGGTGGGGGGGCTGCTCATTACCGGTGTGGATGAGGATGTGCCGCTTGAGGTGGTAGCTGCTGCGGAAGGCGCCGAAACAGTGGTCGCAGATGAAGTTCTTGAGCTGGAAGGAGCCGTTTTGCTCAATCACCACCATCTGAAATGGGGGGGATATGGGGGTTCAGAGCCGGGGGGACCCCCAGCAGCCCCCCCCAAATCCCCCCCCCCGGCCGTCCTGCGCCTGCCGGAGTTTGGGAGATTGTCTTCCTCCTCCTCCTCCTCGTGCGGCGCGGCGGCAAACCTGGGATCCTCGGCGGGAGGAGCTCGGGGGTCCCTCGGCGCCGGGAACCCGCTTGCGGCGCTGCCGGGGGGGCGAGGGGGTGTCAGCGGCCCCCGAGATGGCCCCCGACCCCCCCCCAGACCCCAAAATCGAGGGGGGACCCCCTGCTGGGGGAAGGGACCTGCCTTTTTCATGGATTTCTTGGGGTTGGAGGCCTCAGGAGCATCATCGTCCTTGCGGGCACGGGGCTTGTCGGGGTCCTGGCGGAGGGACTGGGGGGGCGATGGGGGAATAGGGGGGTGTTGGGAAGGGGGAAGGAATCGGGGGCATTTGGGAAAAGGAGATTGAGGGACCGGGAATTGGGAAGGGGGCAGGAAGTGGGGAGGAGGGATTGGGAAAGCAGGAATTGGGGGACAGGAATTGGGGTGGGGGGATTAGGGAGGGTAAATCAGGGCAGGAAATTGGGGAGGGGGTTTCAGGATGAGCAGGGAATGGGGAGGTTGAGGGATAATGGAATTGAAGGGGAAACAATGGAATTAGAACAGGAAAATCCGAGGCAGGAAAAGACCAAATAAAAGAGGAAAAATCCACATGATGGAGGAAAAGTCCAATAAAAGAAAGCAAAGGGCGAGTGAAGGAAAGAAAATCAAGTAAGGCCCGGAAATGGGAAACGAAAGGATGAAAAATTCAATTAAAGCAGAAAAGTGTCAAAAAAGAAGTGGGAAAATGAAACTAAAGCAGGAAAACTAAAGCAGGAAAAAGCCAAATAAAGGCAGGAAAAAGCCAAATTAGAAGTCGAAAAGGTCAAATAAAATATAGCAAAGGATGACTAAAGGGAGGAAACCTCAAATTCGAGGAGAAAAAATTCAAATTCAAGGAGGAAGAGGCAAATTAAAAGCAGAAAATGCCAAATTTGGGGCAGAATAGCCAAAATTAAAGCAGCAAAAAAAAAAATTAGTTTTTTTTTCTTCCCCAAAAAAGCCGGAAAAAAACAAATTAAATGTAGAAAAAGCAAATTAAAGTATGAAACATCCAGGTTATGTGCAGCAATACCCAAATTAAAGGTGGAAAACTCTAAATTAAAACAGGAAATTTCCACCCCAAATTAAAACAGGAAATTCCCGCCCCAAATTAAAGGTGGGAAAAGCCAAATGAAGTGCAGAAATGCCCAAATTAAAGGTGAAAACCCCCAGATTAAGAGCGGAAATGCCCAAATTAAAGGTGAAACCCCCAGATTAAGTGTGGAAATACCCAAATTAAAGGTGAAAACCCCCAGATTAAGAGCGGAAATGCCCAAATTAAAGGTGAAAACCCTCAGATTAAGAGCGGAAAACTCCAAATTAAAGCGGGAAACCCCCAAATCAAAGGTGGGAAAAGCCAAACCAAAGGCATAAACCCCCAAATGAAAGGGCGAAATCCCCCAGTTCAGGGTGGGATCCCCAGGGGAAGGTGCCAGACCCCAGCCAGGGCGTCCCACTCCGTACCAGGAGGTCGGGGCTGGAGCCCCGTTCCCGGTTCCCGTCCTGTTTCCCGCCGGATTTGGGCATCATCTTCTTGCTGGCGACGGTGGGGACGAGGCAGACGCCCGAGAGCCCCTCGCAGGCCAGGAGACTCGCCTGGAACAGGGAGGGACCCCCAGGATCAGCCCCACGGCCCGGGAACACCGGGGGCATCCTGGGGGGGGGGGCAGCAGCCCTGAGGGGAGCTCGGGATAATGGGAGCACCCCTAGACCCAAATTTTCCCCCTAGACCATCCCAGAGTCTCCCCACTATCATAATTATGATAGTGGGGAGACTCTGGGATGGTCTAGGGGGAAAATTTGGGATAATCTTGGAGAAACTTTGGGATGGTCTCGAGGGAAGTTTGGGATAATCTCGAGGGAAATTTGGAATAATCTTGGGCAAGCTCTGGGATGATCTCGAGAGAAGTTTGGGATAATCTCGAGGGAAATTTGGAATAATCTTGGGCAAGCTCTGGGATGATCTCGAGAGAAGTTTGGGATAATCTCGAGGGAAATTTGGAATAATCTTGGGCAAGCTCTGGGATGATCTCGAGAGAAGTTTGGGATAATCTCGAGGGAAATTTGGAATAATCTTGGGCAAGCTCTGGGATGATCTCGAGAGAAGTTTGGGATAATCTCGAGGGAAATTTGGGATAATCCTGGGGAAACTGGGGTGATCTCGAGGGAAATTTGGAATAATCTTGGGCAAACTCTGGGATGATCTCGAGGGAAGTTTGGGATAATCTGGGGAAACTCTGGGATGATCTCGAGGGAAACTGGGGATAAACCTGGGCAAACTGGGGTGATCTCGAGGGAAATTTGGGATAATCCTGGAGAAACTTTGGGATGGTCTCGAGGGAAGTTTGGGATAATCTCGAGGGAAATTGGGAATAACCCTGGGTAAACTCTGGGATGATCTCAAGGGAAGTCTGGGAAAATGTCGAGGGAAATTTGCAATAATCCTGGGGAAGCTCTGGGATAATTGTGAGGGAAACTGGGGATAATCCTGGGGAAACTGGGGTGATCTCGAGGGAAATTTGGGATAATCCTGAGGAAACTTTGGGATGATCTCGAGGGAAATTTGAGATAATCTGGGGAAACTCTGCAGTGATCTGGAGGGAAGTTTGGGAAAATCTGGGGAAACCTTGGGGATGATGTCAGGGGAAATTTGGCATGATCCCAGAATAATTCTGGGAAGACCCCAAAGCGGAACAGAGGGGGTTGAACCCTCTTCTTTCAGCCCAATGAGGATTTAAGGTCAAATGGGAAAATTCAAGGGAATTGTGCAGGAACTTTGGGGTAATCCTGTGGAAAAGTGGGATAAACCCATGGCAAAATGGGAGTGCCCCAAAACTGGGAATGGAGGAGGTTGAACTCCCTTTTCTGAGGCCTAAGGGCGAATTAGGGGATAATCCCAGGAAAAAATGGGGAATTATGGGGAAAATTTGGGATAATTCCTGAATAATTCTGTTAAGGGCCCCAAAGAAGGGCCCCCAAATTTGAGGCCTGACATGACCTAAAGGGTACCGGGGAAATTTGGGGAATCCTGGAGAAAGCTGGGATAATCACAAGGAAAATTCAGGATAAATGTGAGAAAATTTTGGGAGGGAAAACTGGAATAATCCTGGGGTAACCCTGGGAAGACCCCAGGGTGTGTTTGGGGTTGGAAGGAATTCTTCCAGCCCAGAGAGGATCTAATGGATAACAGGAAATTTCAAGACAATCCTGGGGAAAATTTGGTTTATCCCAGGGAAAACTGGGACAATTCCAGCGTGAACTGGGAGAATTCAGGAATAACTCTGGAAAAACCCCAAAAGTGGGGAGGGGAAGGTGGGGGGAGGCAAAGACACCCCCAAACCATCTACTGAACTACTGACACGCCTTTATTGGGGAAATCTGGGAAATCCTGGGGAAAACTGTGATAATCAGGGGAAAAATTTGGGACAATCAGGGAAAAATTTTGGGATAATAGTGTGGAAAGATTGGGAAGAGTCCATGAGTGGAGGGACAGCTTAAAGCTCCTCTTTTGAACCTCAGGGCTAAGGGGAAAATTCAGGCTATTTCTGGGGAAAATCAGGATAATCTTGAGGAAAACAGGGACGATCCTGTGGCATCCCCTGGAGCAGGATGGGGGATGGGGAGGCACCCCCCACCCTGGCGCAGGGGGAGGGAAGCTCCAGCTGTCTCCCCTCTTCCTTCCCTCTTCCCATTTTTTTTTTGGGGCCGTTGTTCCCCCAAATTCCTGGGCCTGGGGGTGTCAGGATGCAGGGGGTGGGGGCTCATTACCTGAGCCATGCTGTGGGAGCCTTTGGCCTTACTTCTCGCCCAGGTAAAGCTCGTTTGGGGTAAGAAAAGGTGGGATCAGTAAATTTTTATGGATTTTTGGGCGGGCTCCAGTACCCGCCACGGCGCCGCCATTCCTCCTCCTCCTCCTCCTCCTCCTCCTCCTCCTCTTCCTCCTCCCGAGGGGGCCACTGGGGCGGGAAGGGGGGGGAGACGGGGCCGGGCTCCCCCCCAAAGCCGGGACCCCCCGAGCTGGGGGGGCGCTGGATCTGCGGGGACGGAGCTGAATCCAGGGGGATCGGCCTGGGGGGAACAGCGGGGGGGGGTGCCCCAGGAACAGGGGGTGTCCCGGGGTGGGTGGCTCAGGGGAGCGGGCGGTGCGGGCGATGCCCAGGGTGGCTGCGAGCTGCGGGGGCCGGAGGGGTCGGGGGGGCGCAGGGCGGGGGGCACGCCCCGGGCTGAGCGGGGAGAGCCCAGGGACAGCAGGGCGGAGACACCGGGGGGGTCCCGGGGAGGGTGGCCCCGCCGCCCCCCCGCCGCCGCCACCCGGAACCGGAAACCCCCGCCCCCGCCGCCGCTTCCGGGGCCGCGGGGCGCCGGGCGGAAGTGAAGGCGGCCTGGCGCATGCGCAGAGTGGCGGCGTGACGGCGAGCGCTGCGCCGCCATAGTGGGATGGGGAAGTTGCCATGGCAACGGCGCGGCCTGGACCCCTCCGAGAGCCCCCGGCCCTCCCCCGGGGGAGGGACCCGCCCGGGAGGGACGCACCCCCCGTGGATCCCCCCTGACTCACCGCGACCGGGACCCACTACGGCCCGACCCCACGCCCGACCCGCCCGGAGCGGGACCGGCACCCTCCCGCCCGACAGTCCTGCGGCGCCCGGCCCCGCTGCCTCACTCGCCACACACCCTTGGGGACCCTCTATACAACCCCGCTTTGGGCTCCCCCCTCCCTCTGACCCCTTCCTTTGGGGTCTCCCCCGTGACCCCTTTTGGGGGCTGGTCCGCCCCCTTTATTGCCCCCCTTTATTGCCCCCCCCCGGGGCAGGTACTGGCCCTCCCCTGGCGTCTGGGGATTGAGGGGATACTGGAAATGGGGCACGGACTGGGGGGTGCACTGGGAATGAAGGGCACTGCGAATGGGGGTGGGGACACAGGGGACAAGGGGGACACCAAACACTGGTGGGGGGACACTAAGGACAGGTGGGGGCTACACTGGGGACAGGGGGGACAATGGGAATAAATTTGGGGACCCTGGGAATGGGTGGGGGCCGCACTGGGAATGGGTTGTGGGCACACTGGCAGTGGGAGGACATACAGGGTCACCAGTCTTCCCTCTTTCCTCAGATCCAGGGACACAGTCCTAACCCTGCCCCCTGTCCCCAGAACCCTCCGGGGCTCCTTCCCCAGTCCTGGACTTTGCTCCTTGCCCCTTGGCAACGTGACCAGAGGAAAATTCCATCCTGGGGAGAGAAGAGAGAGGAGCCAGGAGAGCCTGAGCCAGGAGAGCCTGATCCCAGGAAAAGCTTCTCCTGGGAGCACCTAATTCTGGGATCACCTGGTCCCAGGATCACCTAATCCCAGGAGAACCTGATCCTGGCAGCACCTGATCCTGGAAAATTCCAGCTGGCAGAGGTGAGAGGAGAGGTGAGTCCAGACAACCTGATGCCCAGAGAAACCCATCCTGGGAACACCTAATTTTGTGATCGTCTTCTTCCAGAACGACCTCATTCCAGAAGAACATCATTCTGGAATCACCTTATCCCAGGAGAATTTCATCCTGAGAGAGCCTTAGTCCAGGAGCACCTCATCCCAGGGGCAAGGTGAACTGGGATCACCTTATCCCAGGAGATCCTTGTCCCAGGATCACTTTATCCCAGGGTCTTGTCTTTCCAGGAGAAGCTCAGCCTGGGATCCCCACCCTGCCACTTGCTGCCAGTCCCAGTTTCCCTCCCGGCGCATTTCGGGGTCTCCCCCTGCTCTCCTGCCATGGCTGAGCCCTCTGGGGCTGGGGACAGCATCCCCTTGGATGGTCCCGGCCTGGACATGGCCGCTGGGGAGGAATTCCTGCAGGAAGTGTTCCGGATCCTGCTGGAGGAGGGCGTGCGGAAGAGCACGGATGTGACACAGAAGGTTGGGACACTGGAGGGTGGGGGTCCCCAGTCCCATCCCATCCCATTCCCGTTTCCAGTCCCATTCCCAATCCCAATCCCATTCCTGTCCCCACAGGTATGTGACTGGAAGGAGCTCCCTGGGAGGGGATGGAGTCCCTAGTCCTTCCCTATGGCCTGTCCTATTCCCAGTCATTCCCTGTCCCAGTCCCAATCCCATTCTCGTTCCCAGTCATTCCCAATCCTATTCCCAGTCATGCCCAGGCGTTTGACTGGAAGCAGACATGGAAGGGGGTGGGGGTCACAATATTGTTCCTTTCCCAGTACTATTCCCATTCTGAAACCCAGTTCCAGGCCCATTCCCAATCCTGCTCCTAATACAAATCCCACTTCCAGCCCTGTTCCAACAGCTAGTCCCATTCCCAGTCCCATTCCCAGTCCCATTCCCAGTCCCAGTCCTGTTCCCGTTCTGAGTCCCCTTCCCAATTTTACACTCAGAACAGGATTGGGAGTGGGACTGGGGTTGGGAATGAGAGTAAATCCCAGTTGCAGTCCCGATTCTCATTTCCAGTCTCGTTTCCATTTCCAGTCCCATTTGCAATCCCACTTCCAGCCCCATTCTCATTCCCATTCCCCATTCTGTTTGCAGTCCCGGTGCCAGTCCCATTCCCATTCTCGTTCCTGGTCTCAGTCCCAGTCCCATTCCCAGTCCCGTTCCCGTTTCCAGTCCTGTTCCCATTCTGAGTCCCCTTCCCAATCTTACACTCGGAACAGGATTGGGAGTGGGACTGGGCTTGGGAACGAGAGTAAATCCCAGTTGCAGTCCAATTCTCATTTCCAGTCTCGTTTCCATTTCCAGTCCCATTTGCAATCCCACTTCCAGCCCCATTCTCATTCCCATTCCCCATTCTGTTCGCAGTCCCGGTGCCAGTCCCTTCCCAGTCTTGTTTCCATTCCCAGTCCCATTCCCAACATCATTCCCAGCCCATTCCCTCTGCCGTTTCTAGTCCCAGTCCCTGCCAGTCATTCCCAGTCGTTCCCAGGTGTGTGACTGGAAGGAGCCGCAGGAGCTGCGGGAGCTGCTGGATCTGGAGCTGCGGAGCGACGGGGAGGGGCGGGAGCGGCTCCTGCAGCGCTGCCGGGACGTGCTGCGCTTCAGCGTCCGCACTGGTGCGCTCCCAGTACACACCAGTGCACACAGGAGCGCAGCCCCAGGGCAGCCCAGTGCCTCCCAGTTCAGCCCTGCACAAACTCCGTGTGGCACGGCACCTCCCGCCTCAGCCCGGCTGTTCCCTGGTGCCTCCCAGTGTCAAACACTGTGGCCCCTGCCATGTTCCTCTCCGTGTCTCCCTTGACTGCCCCCGTGCCCCCCCATTTCCCCCCGCATCCACTCCCTGACCCCCCCATGTACCCCCAACTCCCCCATCTCCCTCCACGTCCCTTCTGTTCCCTCCCTACCCATGCCCCATCCTCCATGTCCCTCTTGTGTCCCGCGCTGATTTCCCCCTGCCCCCCCATTTTCCCATTTCCTCCCACCCCCATTCTGCCCTCCATGTCCTCCTCCTGTCTCCCCAGTCTCCTTATGACCCCACAATGACCCCTCTGAACCCCCCAGGTCTTTCCCTTATGTTCCCGTGTCCCACGCCCCATGTGCCATCCCCAACCCTCTCATGTTTCCCCTCCCATATCTCTCTCTGTCCCTGCCATGTCCTCCTCTGACCACCCTATGTCCCCCTGCTGTTCCCCCCAGGTCACCCCCGGTTTTTCAACCAGCTTTTCTCGGGGCTGGACCACCACGCCCTGGCTGGCCGGTTCCTCACCGAGACCCTCAACACGAGCCCGTGAGCCCCTGACACCCCCAAAGGGGGGCTGGTGGGTGGGGGGACCCCCCAAAAACCTGCCATGACCCTCCCCTCCCCCAGATCCACCTGTGAGGAGCCCCTGGTGCTGATGGAGTGGGAGGTGCTGTGGGGAGGGTTTTGGGGTGCTGAAGTTTGGAGGGTTTTGGGAGAAAGGCCCCACCAAAACCCTGTCCTGACTCCCCTGATGTAGCCCCCATTGTCGGTGCTGATGGAGGGGGGGTTCTGGGGGGAGGGTTTTGGGGTGCTGAGGCTCTGGGGGAAGTTGTTTGGGGTTCTGAGGTTTCAGGGGGAGGGGAACCCTCCGACTCCTGCTGGGCCCTTCCAGGTACACGTACGAAGTGGCCCCAGTGCTGGTGCTGATGGAGGAGCAGGTCCTGGCCACGCTCCGGGAGCTCGTGGGCTGGAGCAGCGGTGATGGGATCTTCGCTCCCGGTATTCCAGACCCTTCCTGAGGGGTATCCCTGTCCCTCCTCTCCCCCTGGCAGCCTGTCCGTGGTGCCCTGGGGGTGAAACAGGGGTCCCTGTCCTGGGCAGGGGGATCTATATCCAACATGTTGGCCATGAACGTGGCGCGATTCTGGCGTTTCCCGGAGAGCCGGAGCAGAGGGAACTGGGACCTGCCTCGCCTGGGCCTGTTTGCATCTCAGGAGGTGGGAGTGGGGCCTCAAGGTCACCCCAAAACCCAGTCCTCAGGGTCATCCCAATTCTAATCCATGGGGTCATTCCAAACCTTATTCCTGGGGTCACCCCAAAACCCGATACCTGCGGTCGTCCCAAATGTGGCCCCCTGAGGTCACACCAAACCTGATTCCCTAGGTCACTCCAAATCTGATCCCTGGAATCCCCACAAAACCTGATCCGGAGGGTCACCTGAGGTCATCCCAAAACCTGATTCTGGTGTCACCCCAAAGCTGATCCTTGGAGGTTGCCCTAAACCTAATCCATGGGGTCATCCCAAAACCTGGTCACTGAGGTTACCCCAAAACCTGGCCCATGGGGTCACCCCAAGTCTGGTCCTGGAGATTACCCAAAATCTGGGACCCTGAGTCTGGTTTCTGAAGTTACCCAAAATCTGGTTCCTGGGCTGCCCCCAATCCGGTCCCCTTTTCCTGCCCAGAGCCATTATTCCATCCTAAAAGGAGCGGCTCTCCTGGGAATTGGCACGGACAATGTTCACCTGGTGCGGACAGACGAGAGGTGGGTGCTGGGAGGTCCCGGGGGACCCCATCTCAGGGGGTTCCTCCATGTATCCACCCCTGTCCCTTCCCCTCAGGGGGAAGATGATCCCAGAAGAGCTGGAGAAGGAGATCCAGAGGGTGAAAGCCGAGGTCAGGAGAGGCTGCACACCCCATGTTCCCAAAGCCCCTCAAACTCCCCAATGCTTTCCCAGTATCCCCGACGGCCTTCCCAGTGTTCCCAAAGCTCCCTCAAAGTCCATTTGTCCCTCTCTAAGTCCCCAAAGCCTCTCCAATGTTCCCAAAGCCCTTCCCATGTCCACAAACCACCCCCCATGTCCACCAATGTCCCCCCAATGTCTCCTCAAATCTCCCCAATAATCCTCCCAAATAACCTGAATCTCCTCCAATGCCCCCCACCACTATCCCTTCAACTCTTCAATGCACGCAATGTCCTCTGTCCTCCCCAGGCCTCCTGTCCCCCCTTAAAGTCAGTCCCCTGTCTGCCCCAAAGTCCTCTGTACCCCATTTCCTGCACCCCCAATGTCCCCCTGTATCCTCCAGCCCCCCCAACCTGTCTCCTCGGCCCCCTCAAAGTCCCCCCAAAATGCCCACCCATGGCTCAGAGCCCGTTCTTTTTCTGTGCCACTGTCCTGACCACCTTTGACCCTCTGTGCCCCCCTGTCCCCTATGTCCCAAATGCCCCCCAAGCCTTCCTTGATCAACCAAAACCCCTCCAGATCCCCTCCAAATCGCCCCCAAAGCTTGCCCAAATGCTCCCTCAGGACTCAGAGACCCTTCTTTTTCCGTGCCACCATCCTGGGCACCTTCAATCTTCTGTGTCCCTCTGTCCTCCATTCCCCAAATCCCCCTCAAGCTTCCATAGGTCCCCCCAAGCCCCTCACATCCTCTGCAAATCCCCCATAAGCCCTCCCAGCCTCCCCCCAACCCCTCCCAAAGCTCCTCCAAATGCCCTCCCCACCAGGACTGGAGCCCCTTTGTGTGTGCCACCATCCTGGCCACATTTGACTCCCTGTGCCCCCTTGCCTTCTACCCCCTTCCATGCCCCCTGCACCCCCCAATACCCCCAGACCCCTCCCTAATCCCCCCCAGGGCTCGGAGCCCCTCTTTGTGTGTGCCACGAGTGGCACCACTGTCCTGGGCGCCTTCGACCCGCTGGACGCCATCGCCGACATCTGTGCCCGCCACGGGCTGTGGCTGCATGTGGATGTGAGTTTGGGGGTGCCCGGCTGGGGGGGTCTCGGGGGTTCCCCTGTGGGTGCTGATCCCCCTTTCCCTGCAGGCAGCGTGGGGGGGCAGCGCCCTCCTGTCCCCCCGACTCCGTCACCTCCTTGCCGGCATCCACAGGTGTGTCCCTCCCTCTGCCCCTGCAAAAGACTCCCACCCCTCCCCCTCCGAGCTTTTGGGGATACCCTTTTCCCCACAGGGCCCCCCTAAACTCTGCTGTTCCCCCCACCAGAGCCGACTCGGTGACCTGGAACCCCCACAAGCTGCTGATGGTGGGGTTGCAGTGCTCAGCATTCCTGCTCCGTGACAGCTCCGTAGGTGCCCCCATCCTGAATTCCTGCCCCTGGCATGCCTCCCGGGCCCCCTCATTAATTTTGGTGCCCCCTGTCCCTCCCAGGGGCTCCTGCAGCGCTGCCATGGCGTGGGAGCCTCATACCTGTTCCAGCGGGACAAGTTCTACGACGTGTCCCTGGACACGGGGGACAAGAGCCCCCAGTGCGGCCGCCGCGCCGACGGCCTCAAGCTCTGGATCCTCTGGAAAGCCGTGGGAACCAAGGGGCTGGCACAGCGTGTGGAGCGGGCGTTCGGTGCCACTCGGTGAGCCCCAGGATGGGGGGGGGGACCCTCCACCTTCCCAGACTTGGCTTCACCCCTTTGCTCCCCCCAGGTATCTGCTGGAGCAGGTGAAGAGGAGAGAGGGATTCCAGCTGGTGATGGAGGTAAGGGTGATGGTGGAATGTGGAAGTCTGAATCCCTATCAGATTCTGGGAACTGGGTGAATGGCCATGATCTCCTTCCTCTTTCTCTTCCTGCAGCCGGAATTTATCAACCTCTGCTTTTGGTTCATCCCACCCAGCCTGCGGGGCCAGGAGAGCTCCCCGGAATTCTGGGACAAACTGGGAAAGGTGAGCTCAGAATTCCAAATTCCCCCCACCACCAAGAGCCTTCCAAATCCCAAAAAAATCACCTAAAAGTAACAACAAAATCCTCACGAAATGGTGTTTCCCCCTAGGTGGCCCCAGCCATCAAGGAAAAGATGATCCGGAGGGGCTCCATGATGGTGGGATACCAACCCCACGGATCCCAAGTCAACTTCTTCCGGCAGATTATCACCAATCCTGCTGTCACCCGCCAGGACCTGGACTTCTTCCTGGATGAGATACAGGAATTGGGATGGGATCTCTGAGCATTCCCAAAAACCCCTGTGAAAGACCCCAAAACCTTCCCCCCACCCCTGAGGAAGAGGAGCAGAGCCTTGATTTCTTCCTCACATCCCAAAATTGGAAATGACCCTAAAATTCCACACTTATGGAATAAAACAGCATTTAATGGTCCTGATCTGATATAATTTGGTATTATAATTTGATATAACCCCACCCTCAATATGGAGTTTGGGGTGTAGGGTATCCCTTAATTCTCCTGGAAGCTGTGGAGGAGGTTGTGGATTCCGGGATCAGGATGTAGTGGCCTTGTGACTCTCCTGACGTTCCCATGACTTCTTGAAGCTCCAGAGGTTGGAATTTGTATGGAAGAGGATCTGTCAGTACCTGAAAAACTCTTGGGAGAGTACTGCAAAACCTGCTGCATCCATCCCTGAGGAAGTGAAGCAGAGCCTAGAGTTCTTCTGGGATCTTTAAATCAGGAGTAAAGATGGATGTTCTCAGCGCTTGATCCCAAAACTCCACACTCATGGAATAAAACAGCATTTGATGGTCCCAATTCTATATTAATTTGATATCACACTCCCTCCCCCAGAAATGGAGTCTGGGGGTCTCTCAATTCCCCAGGAGGCCCCGGAGGAAGTCGAGGATTTCAAGATTGACCCGTGCCTCCTCAAGGCGGGCTAGGAGCCGGGGCACTGTGGCTTCATGTCGCTCCCGCCGCTGCCACTCCCGCAGCATCTCGAAATTCCACAGGATGGGATTGCCGGGATTTTCCTCCTGGATCTGCTCCAGCCGGATCCGCTCTAGCCCTAGATGCAGAATTCCCACCTCCTGCCACTCTTTTCCTAATTTTTGGGCGACTTGCATCAAATCTTTCTCCGTCAAGCGTCGGGGATTCCCGGGTGGAGCTGGAATCCCTCCAGGATGATGTCCTGGGGTGAGGTCCCCCCTCACCCTGGGCATGTCCCCGTTAGGTTCCCCGGGAGTTTCCTCAGGGATTTGCTCTTCCAGGGGCAGCTGGAAGCGCTGGATGAGGTCGAGGCGGCCGATCTGCCGCAGGACCCCGGCGGTCACACGCAGGGAATCCCCCGGGAAGCGCTGGAGGAGGATCCGGCACAAATCGGGGCGTGATGCCGGGAGCACAGGCCTGGATGGAATTTGCCCTTCCAGCAGGAACTTCAGGCTCTGGAATTGCTCTTCCGTGAGTGCCTGGTACACCTCCAGCAGTGTCGCCCGCTCGTCCCTCGCCATCGGGGCAGAAAATCCCACAGGGAAATGGGGTCACTCCCGGGACACAAGGGCTGGGAGAGAGGAATCACCACACAGCTCAGAAAGTGGGAGGAAAAAGGGGGCCACTCCTGGGCCCCAAAAATTCGGGGTGTGGGTTGAAAGGGGTCCCTCTGTGCTCCATGAACTGGGGTAGATGGGTCACCGCCCACCCCGAGGGCTTTCTTGGTACCCCCGGTGTCCCCACCCTGCCCCGGGGTTGAACCCTCCCAGCGTCACCCTAGAGTACCCCACCCTGCCCTGGGCCTGAGACTGCCGGCTGTCACCCCAGTGACCCCCCAGCCCTGGGGCTGGGTCCCCCCAGTGCCTCCCCATCCTTCCCTGCGCCTGCGACCCCCAGTGTCACCCCAGTGCCCCCACCCTGTCCTGGCTCCCCGCGATGCCCCTCCCGATGTCCCCGCCGCGTGACAAGTGCCCTTTGTTCCGGGTCCCCACGACCTCGCGGCGCCCTCGGTGCCCCCCTAGCCCGGATTCCCACCGTTCTGTCCCTGGAGCCCCCCGTTCTGCCCCCGCCGCCGCCCCGCTCTCACCGCGCTCCGTTCCCGCCGCGGCGGTGCCGTTTACGGGAAGCGGGTCGCGGTTCCGCGCCTCCTTCCCGCCACAGCGGCTGCCAAGGCATCGGGGGCGGGGCCCGAGCAGGGGGCGTGGCCTCTCTGCCCGCCACGGCGGCGGCCTCGGCAGCGGAGCGGGGCCGCTTTGAGCGCCCGGAGCCGCTTTGAGCGCCCGGAGTCCGGCCTGCCCGGAGCCGCTTTGAGCGCCCGGAGCCGCTTTGAGCGCCCGGAGTCCGGCCTGCCCGGGGTGAGGCCTGCCCGGGGCGGGGTCCTGAGCGTCCTTTGGGGGCTCCGGAGGCGGTTTTGGGGTGCGGGAAGTGAGTCTTGGGCCCAGTGCTCAGCCCCGAGTGCCCCAAGTGCCCCCAGTATCTCCCAACAGTTCTCGGCCCCCGCAATCCTTCAGTCACTTCCAGTACTCCCAGCGCCCCCAATCTCTCAGTCTGCCCTGTAACCCCCAATCCCTCAAACCCCCAGTATCCCCCAGTTCCCCAATCTCTCCCGTCAACCCCCAATCCCCTGGTACTCCCAGTCCCCCAAATCCTCCCCAATGGTCCAGTCCCCCCAGTATTCTCCAGCCCCTCCATTTCCCCAGTTCCCCCCAGTAACCCTGAGTAAGCCCTCAGTAGTCCCTGCAATTCCTTAGTCCCTCCAGTATCCCTCAATGTACCCCAGTCTTCCCCAGTCCTCCAGCATCCAGTGGTCCCCAGGCCCACTAGTATCCCCCCAATTCCCCAGTTTCCCCAGTCCCCCCAGTTTCCCCAGTCCACCCAGTATCCCGCAATCCCCTCAGCAACCCCCAGTTCTCACAGAACAGCCCAATTCCCCATTGTCTCCATTATCCCAGAACCCCCCGCGATTGCTGAGTTGCGGGAGGAGGGGCGAGAGGATGAGACCCCCCAGATATCAGCGTTCCTCCATGGGGGGAGTGCGAGGGCCTATGGGGTGGGACGAGGGCAGTGACATCATGTCACTGGGTGTGTGACCCCAGCATGAGGAGGGGCACGGAGGGCGTTGGGGCAGGTGGGATCCCTCCCTTGGGGGCGGCAGCGACCCCCCCTCGGGGTGTCCTCGGGTCACCCCAGTTCTCTCCCTGCTCCCTCTCTCCCCCCCGGCAGGGTCCTTCCATCAAGGGGGCGGCGGCCCCCCGAGACCCCCCCAGCCCCACAGATCCCCGGGAAGCCCCACTGCTCGAGGGCCCCCCAGAGATGAGACCTCTCCAGCTCCCCCAAAAGAGGCCTCTGGCCACGGTAAGAGGTTCTGAGGGGGTCCCCTGGAATCGTGGAGGGGGGTGGGTGCTTTTTTTGGGGTCCCCTAGGGAGCTGCAGTGGGGGGAGACCCTGCCCCCGTGGTACAGGGAGACCTCAAAGCTGAGGGAGGAAGCTGGGTCCCGGGGGGTCCCAGGGATGTGGGGGGCTGTGGTCCCATGGTGTGGAGAGACCCCGATCACAGAGTATGGAGGTGACCCCATCCCAGCGTAAGGGAATCTTAGGAATGTTGGGGTGACCCATTCCCATGGCACTGGGGTAGTTCAATTCCAGGGTAGGGGGGAACAGAGATGTGAGAGTATCCTGCTCCCATCGTGTGGGGTACCCCAGTTCCAAGGTATTCCCATTTCACATGCCCCAGGATACAGGGGTGTCACGTTCCTGTGGCTGGGGGTACACCACTTCCAGGGTTTGGGGGTGCCTCAGGGATGTGGGGGTGTCCCAGTCCCATGGGCTACATTACCCTGATCCTGGAGTTCCCCAATCCCAAGATATGGGAATCTCAGGAATGTGGGGTTGTCCTATGCCCATGGTGTGGGGTGCCCTTTTCCCAGAGTATGGGGCTGTCCCAATTCCAGGGTTGGTAGGTACCTTGATCCCACAGCTCAGGGGTACCACAGTCCTGGGGTGCAGCGATGTCTCATTCCCATGGAATGGGGGTGTCCCAGTGTTGGGCTACAGAGATGTCCCATTCACATGGAATGGGGTACCCCCATCCCAGGGTATGGGGGTGCTCTGATCCCAGGATATGGTGGCACCACAATCCCAGAGTTCAAGGTCAATATTACCTGATTTGGGGGTGCAGGGTTCTAATCTCATGACATGAGAATGCCCCAATATAGGGATGCAGGGATGTCCCAGTCCCATGGAATGGGGGTGCCCTGATTTTGGGGTGTGAGAATGTCCCAGCCTCACATATGGGGATGTTCCAATTTTGGGATGGAAGGTTACCCCAAACTCATGGCATGAGCGTGTCCTGATTTTGGGGTGCAGGGGGTTTTCTGGGTGCCCCAACTTGATCCCTGGTTTCCACAGGGAATTTGGTGGCACCACCCCTGGGTGGTACCACCTCGATGTCTGTTCCAGCCCCTGGCCCCCCTTGCACCCCAATCCCAGACCCTTGTCTGGGGGGCAGTGGGGAGCTGGGGGGAACTGAACTCAGGCTTTGGAATATGATAGGGATAAGGGTAGGAAAGGGGAAGGAAGAGGTGGCAACAGGGATGGGGAAGGGGGAAAAGGGATGGAGAAGACTCAGAGGAGGTGGAGAAGGGGAAGAGGGGATGGAGATTGCGAAGAGGGGATGGAACAGATAAGGATGGGAAAAGGAAAGGGAAAAGAGGATGGGAAAAGGGGAAGAGGGTCTGGAGAAAGGTGAGAAAGAGAATGAGGAAAGGACAGTGGGAATAGAGCAAGTACAAATAGGATAGAGAATGTGGAAAAGGAATGGAAAAGGGAAAGAGGGGATGGAAAATGGGAAGAAGGATGAAGGTACCAGTGGGACCAAGATGAGACAGAGGGCCTGGAGGTGGCAGTTGGAAAGGGCAGGTGTCATTGGGATGGAGCAGGTGGCAAGGGGCCCCAGGCCCTGCCCTACCAGTGCCCACCCCCCTCTTGCACAGCCCATCCCGGCCCGGCCCGGCAATGCTGAAAGCCCCCAGGCTCTCTGTGAGGGGACCAAGCTCCCTGAAGGAGCTGCTGAGGTCAGAAGGGGCCGGGCTGCACCCCACTATCCGTGGGGAGTGTGGGAAGGGCTTCAGCCGGAGCTCGGACCTGGCGCGGCACCGCATCACCCACACTGGGGAGCGACCGTTCACCGGTGGCGCCTGCGGGAAGGGCTCCAGCCAGAATTCCAACCTGGCCACACACCCGGGAGAAACCCTTCGGCTGCCAGGACTGCGGGAAGCGCTTCGGGGAGCGACGCACACCGGGGAGCGGCCGGACAGATGCAGGGAATGTGGAAGAGCTTCAGCGCCAGCTCCAACCTGCGGCGACACCGCCGGAACCGTGGCCGAGAGCGGCCCCACCTCTGCCCGGAGTGCGGGGACACTTTCTGGACCCCTGGCCAGCTCCGGAGGCACTGCAGGGAGCACGTGGTGTGAGGGGGAAGCGGGGTCAGCATGGGGACAGCGACATCTGGATGGGCATCAGGACACGTGGATGGGGTTGGGACACATGAATGGGGATAGGGACATCATGATGGGGACACCAGGGTTGGGGAGGAGGGGGTGGGATGGGGACAAGGACACCAGGGTTGGGGCACAAGGTGGAGATGTGTTGGTTTGGCACAGCCTGGTTTTTGGCAATAGGCGGGGGGGCACAGGGGTGGCTTCTGTGAGAAGCTGCTAGAAGCTTCCACCATGTCTGACATAGCCAGCTTCCCCTTCCCAGCACCCTGCATGAGGAGAGGTGTTAAATAGTGCCAGCACTGATGGCAGCAGGGCTGCTTGGCCAACAGTGGAAGCACAACGAGCAACCCCTGATGCAGAACCTAGACAAAATCAACTTAGTGCTGCAGGAGCCTGCAGGAATCTTTGAACTGGTGGAACTTGTTGGCAATGGTACCTGTGGGAAGCAGTTTTTCTTCTAGCCAGAGAAGAGGAGGAAGTGAGAACATGTGAGGGAAAACAATATGATGGCACCAAGGTCAATGGAAAAAGAGGGGGAGGAATTGCTCCAAGTGCCAGATCCAAGATTCCTCTGCAGGCCATGGTGAGGACTATGTGAAACAAACTGTCCCCCTGTGATGCACGCAGTCCACAGGGGATGCAGAGATCCACTCAGAGCCTGTGGGAAACGTGTTCAGGCTGGAGTGGGTGGATGCCAGAGAAGGCTGTAATCCAGTGGGAGACCTGAACAAAGAGAGAGGGCCCCTGCTTCCAGACACAGAGAGGGAGAGGACTCTTGCTTCCAAACTAGAACAGCCTGTTCTTAGAGCACTGCACCCCATCCTTGCCACAACAGTTTTGGGACAACTGTTTGCCCATGGGAGGGACCCCACATCAAAGCAGAAAAAAGACTCCTCTCCCTGAGCAAACAGAAGATCTCAAGTGATGAAGTGACCAAAACCCCCATGCCTGTATCCCAGTGCTGTTGGTGGGAAGGAGGGAGGAAGAAAAAAGGTATTGTAAAGGGCTTATTTTACTTTTCCTTGTCCCCTTCTGACTCTGGTAATAATAAATTTACTTTATGCCTTTAAACTTGAACCTGTTTTGCCCTTAGAGTGTTTTTGTCCCAGTCCTTAACTCATGAACCCCTCATAAATTCTTTTTTCTCTCTCTCTTCTGCCCAACTGTAGCAAAATAGGGCAAGCAAACGACTCTCATGGATGCCATGGGATTGAACCCATACAAAGGTTGTGTTACTGGGCATTACCTGCCCAGGGCCCTAGATCAGCTGTACATCAAGATACAGCATAGCTTCTTATCTTGTCCAAAATAAATGCACTGCCACAAATTTCAGAAGACCACCTTTGAGAAGGGGAAACAACATGCCAAATTGCATCTTCCAGGAGACTACCTTCAAAAGATGGAGATCAACTCCATAACTGAACAAACTGGGGCAGTGAGTTTTGAGTAGGGGAATGCAAGGTTGGGGTAGACAAGGCTAGGCAAATCTAAGGAGGGGCAGGCAACGGAAAGGCAAGGCCAGGGAAGAAAGGGCTAGATAGGTGAAGGTGGGGGATGAGCATGTGGGGCAATAAACAGTATTTGCCTTTCCTTGGCTTGCCCTTCTTACCCCTTTCTTGCCTGGCTTTGCCTTCTATGCCTGTCTTCTCCCTTGTCTTGCCTTTCCTTCTCAAAGCTTGCATTGCCTTACCAACCCCTCTGTGTCCTTCCCTTGCTCCTCCTTACACTCCATTGCCTTGCTCGCCCACCCCCCACCCTGACTTCTCTACCTCATTTTTCCTGGCCTTGCTGTACATCATCTACTCCTCTTAGGACACTCATTGCCTTGCCTATGTAGCACTTCCCCTGCCTTGCACACCTGTCCATCGCCTAGCCTTGCCCTGCTTAACACTTGCGCTGCCCTGCATGCCCATACCTTGCTATGACATGACTAATTTTCTTCCCTGGCCTGACTTTGCCTTGCCTGTCCTTCTTTCAGTTTCCTTTGCCTTGTCTACTCACACCTTGGATTGCCTTATTGACCCCTCCACACCATTCATTCCCTTGTTCTTCCTTTCTCTCCACTGCCTGGCTCACCCACCCCCACCTTGACTTCCCCAATGCTTTTTCCCTAGGACTCTCAGTCTTGCCTATTCCACCCTTGTGTTTCCTTGCTTTTCCTGCTCAACCTTGCATTGTGTTTTAATTCCTGACCATCCCTTGCCTTGCCTTCCATCCCCCAACCTTCCATTGACTTTTCCAGGGTTCCATGCCATTCCCTTCCAATTCCTACCACTACATTGCCTGGCATTGCCTTGCTCACCCACTCCCCACAAAGACTTCTTCAACAATTTTTTACAGATCTTGCATGCATTGCCTTGCTGGTTTCTCTAAAAGATTCTCATCGTTTTATCTATTCTTCCCTTACCTTGCCATTCCTAGCCAACCTTGAATTTACTTGTCATTTCTGAACATTGCTTGCTTTCCCTTTCTGACCCCTCTGTGTCATTTATATTTGCTTCCTTCACTCAATCCCTTGCTTTGATCAGCTCACACATCCCACACCATTACTTCCTTACCCCATTCTCCTAGTTCTTGCCTTGTGGTTTCATCCTCACATTGACTTCATACAGCCCCAGTGCAGAGGCAAAGCGAGGTGGTGAAGTGCCACTACCTTCCCTAAAAGCATCTTCAGGAAGACCGCATTCGGGCAGGCTCACAACACACGCACACAACTCGCACTCCTGCACGCCACGGAGAGCTGCCCACAAGGAAATGCAGGAGGGTCTTCTGTGTGCGGTTCTAGTGAGGGTTTATTTGGGTCCAAGGCTGAAGGGGTCCAGGGAGAGAGGACCCGATACAAGGAGGGTCCAGGGTTAAATGCAGGGAAAGAGAGGGTGGAGCGGAGCATCAGAGGGCTAACGATCTGAGGGCACAGGGGCAGTACACAGGGAAGGGACCAGTAGGGGATGCCAGGGTGGACAGGCGGGGTTACAGGAGCCAGTGGGGGAACAGGGAGTGAAGAACTTGCTAGAACATGTACATGTGAGGTAAAAGGGGTAAGGAAGGCCAACGGGCCAATGGGGAGGACAGAACTGGGGATAATTTACATTGTGCTGCAGGGCACCATGGGGCAAGCCTTTGTCCTCACTCCAACCTGTAGGGAATACCTGGAGGTACAGTGCATCTCTCCAGGGCATCACCATTGCCTTCTTCCCAGTAGGCTCATGGGCCTCCACACCCCAGAGTTTCAGGAGCAGATTAGAGGTGAACCAAGCAAGGTCAAAGCCAGCCAGATCTGTCTGTCTTGGCAAATTTCATCTAGGAGGGTGCTATGACGTAACACTCACTTGCCTTGCCTTGGGAACCCTATGGTTTCCTTGCTTTGCCCTGCTCACCCTCCCTTGCCCTGCATTGCCTTGCATGCCAACTCCTACTCTTGACCTGCCTACTCCTCTCCCCTAGGGTCTTGCTTTGCTAGGCCTGTACCTCCTACATTTCCTTGCAATTCCTGACAATCCCTTCCCTTCCTTTGTCTTCTGGACCCATCTGTGTTCTTCCCTTGCCCTTCTTACCACTCCATTGCCTTGCCTTGACTTGCTCACCCACTGCCCACCTTGACGTCCCTACTGCTTATTTTTTTGCCTTGCTTTGCCTTGCCTGTTTCTCTTAGGACTCCCATTGCCTTGCCTTGCCTTGCCTACCCTACCTTTCATTTCCTTGCCATTCCTGACCATTCCTTTACTTTGCTTTGCTTACTCACACCTTGCATTGCCCTGTTGCCCCTTCTGGAGCCTTCTCTTGCCCTTCATTCCCTCCACTGCCTAGCATTGGCTTGCTCACATGCTGCATGTCCTGGCTGGATGGTGACAGGGGGTGTGACAGACTGAATCCCCGCTACCAGTGGAGGCGCAGAGCAGAAACAAAAGAGCTGGGATGGAACTGGGGTAACTTTATTCAATGGCAAAACTCCCCCTCCCCAGTGTCCCAGGACCCTGAACTGAGGGCAGACAATAGCTTATAAACGGGGGAGGTCTCAGGGGAGGATACAATCTTTAACTAATCAGGAGAACTAGGGGTGAAAAAACAAGGTGAGGAATACAATGTGTAAACCAATAAAGAATTTCAAGGGAGGAGAACAGCTTCAGTGAACTAATGGGGTTTGGAAGAATACAAAACTGACAGGGAAGTTTCTAAGGGGAAGGCAGGTTTGGGGAGAGATTGGCATTTAATGGAAGGAGGAGTGAGGAACATTCTGGGGAAAGGGTAGGGACAGGAGGGGTTAGCAACTAGAAGGGGAGGGGGTTTAAACCTTGGCAGGGAGTAGCTAGGTAACAAACAAAAAACCCAACACTTAACTAAACCAAATAACAATGAGGGAGCAAGTCTAGTTTTAAAAACATAAGATACAAAATGGGAAACCTGTGCCACTCTAAAGGCAAAAAAAGGACAGCATAAGGAAATTACAAAATTACAAATCACACAGTAAGCATACTAATAAAACTAAAAAAAAAAAACCACACTACAACACTCACTCATCCCCCACCTTGAATTTCTTAGTTTTTCTTGGTCCAGCCCTGCCTTTCCTTGTCCTTCTAGGACTCTAATTTCCTTGCTTATTTCTCCCTTGCCTTGCCTTTTAAAGACACCACTTGCCTTGCCTTGTCTTTGAAGCCTTCCCTTGCTTTGCTTTACCTTGCTGGAAACCAAGACCCCCTTTCTCCATGTATTTTCTGACCTTGCCCTGCCCTGCTTGGTCCTGCAAGGGCTCTCAATGCCTTCACAGACCCCAGTGTTTCAGAACCACATGAGAAGCAGCCCAGGAGAGATCCCATCCAGCCAGATCTGTCTGTCTGGGCAGCTTTTGTCTGCGATCAATCTTTGGCTGTATTGAATTTTGGACAGGCAATCCACATTTCACCACAGACAATCCATGGGCTCCAGGACAAGAATGACATTTTCTTCTGCAGGAGGGAAAGCACGTAGACCCACTATTTCAGGTGCACATGACAGGAGGCCCAGGGGACATTAGACCTATCTGTCTTTGGCAGTTTTTTTCTGCCACCAGTCCTTGCATGTCTTGAATTTTGGACAGTCCACATTTTGCCCTTGGGCTCTGGGACTAGAATGACAGATCTTTTGCATAGGAGCCAAAGCATGTAGCCAAGGTGTTTCAGGTGTATGTTTGAGGTGGCACATACAAGATCAAGTGCAGCCAGGCCAGTCTGTCCTGCTGCTTTTGTCTGTAAGCAATCCTTGGCTATACTGAATTTCAAAAATGCATTCCAAATTTTGGCTGTGTGAGTGTTGCTGTTAAGACGGTCATAACAGACTGAAGAACACACTGTATTTAGGAACGCTTCTTTTGATTTATTTTACAACATGCTGTCTTTTTATAGTCTTTCACAAAGTTTATACTTATACTGGTCAGAATAAATCAACACAGTATTCATTGGAGCAAGGTGTCCTGCCCCTTGTTTATCTCTCTTTTTGTCCCTCCTTTCCATGCTGTTGGCCTTGGTAAAGCTCATTTCAGGAGCAAAGGCAGCTCTTATCACCTCGTCTCTTTCACTGACCCCTTCTGACTCACAGGCCAGCTGTGATCCCCTTCCACATGTGAGTTGCAACAAGGCCCTTGGAAACCCATAGAGCAAGGAATCTAATGCATGGGAGAAGTGGCTGTGCTAGAGACCATTTTCTCAAATAACGACCAAGCCACTTAATGTCCAGCCCTTATAAAATGATGTGGATGAAACTCTTACGACTCATGCCACAAGCATACTCCTGCTTCCTAGTGACACCACAATGGGATGAGGAAAATGAGACAGTGGGTGCTGTGACAAGAAGGCTTCAGACAGAGGAAGATACTGTCCACACCCTGACAGCAGCCCAAATCTCAGCCATGGAAACAGACCTGACAAAGCATATGCAGAAATTGGATGAGTGGATTGAAAAGAGCCATCAGAAACTCAGAATGGAGCTTAGGGAAGATGTTTTCCAGGCCTTGCCACTGCGGACCAGGGTCTCTGCTGTTGGGCAACTCGAGGAAACTTTTGAGA